GCCTAGAAAGAAATGAGTGAGAGGAGAAACATATTCTGGTGAATGGTATAGTCTGAGATTATATAGTGGATGAAATCAAGCTATGGAATAGCTCAGGAAAATGTTTGACTGCATTGTCGAACATGGACAAATAAGGTTAATGTCTTGTAAGGTCCATTATCAGCTTCCTTGAGTCAGATGAGAGCACCTGCGGCATGTTGTGTTGTTTTTGATAATTTTTGCATATTTGCTTATAGTCTTCTATTTAACTGAAAATACTCCCTGGAACACTATTGGAGAAAGCCTGGCGGTTGTTGGTGGTGTTTTACTATGAGTTGTATATATATCCAGGATTAAAATGTGTATGTGTTGGTGTTTTATTTTTTAAAAATTGTCCAGTGAAAAATCTGAAAGTAGATACAATTTTTCAGAACATGGTGAGTGACAGTATTCCAGAAAAAAATACCTCGGATTGAAAAGCCAGAAGTATGAGCACCTGTATTCTGCAATCACTTTTAAAGAAATTCTCGCTCACATTGTATAAAAAGAGAAGAGCAATTACAGTTCATATTTGTTCCCATGGGCCACTGCTTCCTCCCTATCTTTTTCTTTTCCCACATGAAGGGAAATTAATTAAGGCAAAATTTTATAAACTACTTCATTTCACATAGAAATCTGTAATGTAATTGAAGTTGTTTCTAAAGCCTATGAAGAATAATTGTCTGTATTATATAGTCACAAAGCTATCATTTGTTTTGGAGACTTTCTGTGGATGTATCACCAAGTAGATGAAGTATAGCATTTAGCTCTTTATGTTTTTACAACAGTGGAACAAATGTGCAACGTTGATGCTGAAAATAATGGTAAATCATTTTTTAAAATGCTAATGGTATTTTAAAGTTATAGATTTTAGAGACATAAATGGAAAATCATTCCCTAGATACAGTTGTGAATCTTGGTTAAAAGATTGAAAGCAAATGGTTAGTCTGTTGTCTATGGAAAATGGAAACTTTCCCATTACTTATTAATGGCACTCATTGGCAAGTATTAGGCAAGCAGAGATATCAAATATTGTGATGGCTACTGTATAAAAATATTGAATGCTGTTATTTTAATTATTATTAGCTCTTTCCAATTATTGAGATTTTTTTTTTGCTGTTCAAGAAAATATGTTACGAAAGCAAATTTCTGCTAGCTAGAAAATATTTTTGATTGAAATCATTTTATGTTTTATGGTGACAACAAAAAAAATGTTGATACTACCTATTTCCTCTTTCATAATAGTTACGGAACTTGATTTTAATAGACCATGGGTAATATATTTTCCTCTTGGCTGTTCTGGCTGTATTGTATCAGTGGAAAGCATGCCCTATACCACCGAAACTCCCTGGTTTGTCTTGAACTGTTTGTTCATGTGTATATTATTTCTGAGGGTACACCCGACTGTATGCTGCCTGTCTGGGAGACTGAAATCTTTGTGAATGGTCATGTGTATTTTCACTCTGCATGTCCTATAGTGCCTTATTCCAACAAATGATGATTTTGACCAATTTTCTTAGTACCGGCAGCTGTTGGATGGAATGTCTGTATTTTTTTTCACTTCTAAAGAAGTAGAGGTAGAATAACTCCCAAGTAGATTGTCCATTTTTTCATGTAAGGCAGAGTAGTATGGAACACCCAGAATGCATCAAAGAAGTCTTAACACCTTCAGTAGAGACAGCAAGTGCTCTCTTTCTTTACCCTGAGGAATGAAGAAGTAGGCAGCTCTGACAGAGGTTACCTAGCAGAAGATATCAACCTTTGTGAAACCAAATAGATTCTCTTAGGAATCAAGACTTGTAATGAATCTGCTGAGCTTAGACTGAAAAGGTCTCTGAAGCTCAGGTATGTTTTTTTCTTCTTCTTTTCTTCTTTTCAGTGTTGGAGCTTTTCCATCTTCAAACAGAAAAGCAACTGATACTGATCACATAGTTGCAGGTTTTCTTTTAACTCTTAATCAGAGCAGTTTACTAAATAGCAAATGTAGTCATGACAGGATGTGTTTCCTCGTTGTGCTTTTGGGCAGCTTGATGTTTTCCTCAAGGCTTTGAGGAAAAACAATAGGATTCTCTCAGAACTTTCTTCTCACTTGGGTAAGGAGACAAGATCACCCAGTTTGCCAAAGCAGCAGTTGATATGTGTGAGAAGAAAATTTTAGATGTATTAGGGACTGAATTCATGTCAGCAAGTGTTTTTGTGAAGGGAAATTTGACTTGTCAACAAAAAAGTTGATGTGTGTTTTCCAACTATTATTTGATTTTTTTTCTTTTTTTTCTTTTTTTTTCTTTTTCTTTTTTTTTTTTTTTTTTTACTCCAAGACGTCTGGGAACTGGAATCTTGCATAGTGAGTTCTTGCTATACAGAACGCTGCTGTCTGTTCCTCTTCAGGAGTGTCCTGGGCAATAAAGATATTTAAAGGAATCAATTTTGTACATACATTTTGATTTAAATCAAATTACTGTAGAGTTTGAGGGAAGGTTGTTTACTTCTCTTTATTTCTTAATCCTGAAGAAGAAACTGGGTTGGCATCATGCACCTTTGAAGTTCCTTATTTTCTCTAAGCACTTTGTGAACTTTATGACTCTTCACTGTAATGACTGAACCTTTCATCAGTTTGACAGTTAAGGGTTAGTTCTTATGGCTTCTTTGGGGAGAAAGTAGTTTGATTGGTTTAAACTAGATTTGTCAAAGCACACTAGTGACTGCAGATGTCACTGGTGGAGTTTCCTGAATTGTCTATGCACTCTATATTTTTCCCTGTTGGATTTTGTGCAGTCAGTTTTGCTGATAAATCCAGGTGATACCAGCTCGTTATCTCTTCTGCCAGTAGTAGTCTTCAGCTGTAGTCTCCCACGTTGTGCAGTTAATGCAACATAATCGAATATTTGCTTTAGGTATGTCCTTGGAGTCTTATGGTTTAATATAATCTATTTACCATATTTTAACCAGACATTAAAAAAAAATGTTATGGAAAATGCCATTTTTGGTATCGAAAGCATGTGCCCATGGTAGAACAAGTGAGCGTACAAGGAGGTTGCTTTGATGGTGTGTATTGATGCCTTACTAATCGCTGTTCAGGTTGGTGTTTTGATATTCTACATTAGCAGAAAGCCAAAGATGGTACAGATGGAATTAGAGATACATGACTTGGTGACTATCGGTTGTTCAGATGCTGCAGCTATTAAGAACGATGATGGTGGTTGGATGCTGTGCTATGCTAGCTGAAACCATTCACTTGAGTTATGCTGCTTTCATCTCCTAAGGTTGCTCTGACTTTCCTGATCCTTTCTGTAACTTTGTCATCAGTTAAGGGGTTCAGAGCCGCTCTACTATCAGATCAGAAGAATTTCTTTCTAAATTACCATACTGCCTAGTAGGTTTCCATCAGCCTGACATGCTTTAATCCATGCTTTTGTGTGGGCAAACAGAACAGATTACACAAAGGTGTCAAGGTATTCGGGTCCAGTGTAAAGATCAGTCATAACTAAAGCTTCTAGTCTTCAGTGATGTTTATACTTTAAGTGATAAAAATAAGGTATTAATATGTTTTAAAGAGTTTATATGTACAGCATTCAGTATGTAACATACTGTTCTAAACTTCTACTTGGAATAGTTCTTAAAGAGTTCCGGATAATATGTTGCTCATGGATAAAAACCTCAACAATGAAAATTGTTACAATTTTTATAATTTTTACATCAATGATTTTAGATATCTGCTGTTGAAAATTTTCAAATGTAGATGAATAAGAGTACTTTTGAAATGTTTGTCCAATACAATTCATAATCATATTGCATTTTGGAGCCTGAACTTAGTTTCTGGAAGCCTAATAATAAAAGCCCAATTGATAAAGTAATCGGGAAAGGGTGCCCTTCCACATGTGCAAAGATCTATTTATATGGTCATTATTAGCTCAGAAGCATTCTAAGCAGGAACCTCTAGCCCTTTTTCTAAACTGGATCTTAATACCTCTAAACTGTGCTTCCCTCCTTTGTTTTGGGATGTAAGTCAGTTCAGTTGGACATTTGATTCACAAGCAACTCTGCCTTGGAGGTGACAACATCTCTCTGTCCTTTGCGTGATACAAATGGCTGTTGTGTCTGGCCGTTGATTCCACACCCATTACAGACAAGAGCCTCTCTGTATCTCTGTTCCCTACGCTGGAGCTAGGGTTAATAAAATCTGCCTATGCACAGGGAAAACATAGGAAAAATATGACAGTGATATCAACCAGAAACTTATTTAGATTTTTCCAGGAACAGGCAAAAGACTTTATTCCTCAAAATCTGCTTTTCTGTAGGTAATTGCAGAAAATATGATGAAATGATAAAAATAGAGAGAACGTGTGTGGTGCAATATGCATCTGATTTTTTTTTTTTGAGAATTGGGCCTTTTTTTCTATTTGCTGAACTACTTGGTTGTAGCTTTAAATTAAAAATGGTATATCCAATACATATTTACTGACATTGGAATTGTGGATCTGCAGGAGTCTTATCTATGTCTCTCAGGTGCCAGTGTATGCTGATAAGTATTGCTTAGAGATTCTGGAGGTTGGAATTTTTGTCCTGTTTATTCCGATCTTTTATTTCTGTGATGTGATACTGCTAACTTGTGTATTTACATTACCCATATCGGCTTATAGTGAGTAATCTGTACAGCAGCCACTGGAAGAAACGCGATTTCATTATGTGTGTGTTCTGTAAGGTTTCCAGCTCTTTATCAATCAATGTTAGAGAATTGACTTTAGATGAACAAAACAGACACTTCTTTAATAGAGCAGATTTTTTTTATTGTTGTTTGTTTACAGCAAGATAGAAAAATAAAGATAAAAACTATATGGACAATAACTGATGAGAAAAGGGAAAATAATTACTAATTCTCCCAAAAAGTGAACTTGTGGCTTTTGGGAGCAGATTCAAATATAATAATAATAATAAAAAGGGTGTTTAATTAATTGTCTTATGTTTATTTTGCTGTTTCATAGAAAATTTCACCTTGGGTAGGTTTACGCAAGATCAACATCTCGTACTGGGGATGGGATGACATGTCTCCTTTTACAAACACAACTCTGCAGTGGCTTCCTGGAGAGCCAAATGACTCCGGTTTCTGTGCGTACCTGGAAAGAGCAGAGGTGGCAGGGCTGAAAGCGAATCCATGCACTGCGATGGCAGATGGCCTCGTCTGCGAAAAACCTGTTGGTAAGTCATCTTCCTTAGCCACTTCTTGTTACTATCGTGATTAGCCAGCTGTTTTGGTTTTCGTTTGGCTCAAAGGGATTTGTACAACATGGATTAAATAATTAGGAAAAAAAGTCCTGCTTTGTTTCTTGAAAAATATGAAACTAACCTAAAACACAAATAGCAATTTTAAACCAGCAAATATTTATCTGTGAATTAGCTTACATGGATTAGTCTGCATTATACCAGAAGTGTTGTGTTTTGAGGTCAGTATTTGTCAGTGACAACAGTGACAGCAGAGTGAAGGATTCTGTGGAGATGTCTAGCAAGGCAGATGCTGCAATAATGAGTTGACTTTGTGAAGTGAATATTGTAATGATCTACTAGACTGGCAAAACCAAATCTCTCCATCTTTTTGATTTCTTTCTGTGTAAAGACTACTGTGGCAGATTTGACGCTTTTTCAGTCCTTTTTGCCAAGAAAGTGAAAAAGAGGTGACTAACTGGCACCCTTCAGTAAGCTGGTCCACTAGTGCCTACCCAAAGTTCTGTCTGTGAAAGCTGAGAGTCTTATTGTGCTCCCTTTTAGCTGTGCCCTTCTTACATTAAGGATGGATGCTGAAAAGTAGAAAAGTATCATTATCAGAAAACATAAAAAAGGGTATAATCACTTGCACCAAAGGGTCTGTCCAGTGCAGTTATCCTGCCTACAGTGTTATTTGCAGCTTACATCACAGATTTGGGTTGTTAAGCACGCCAAAACTGTGTGGTTTCACTATCTGTGAGACTATAACTGAAGATTAAGTATTGCTTTTCATGATTGTGTGTGACGCACAACATTCCAACGTTACAAAAGTCCGTGCAAAACTATCTGTAATCACACTGGGATTCCCATTTTCTCAGGACAGCTCGTTCGTTGACAAATTAAGTAAATGATGTTGAAAGTATGTAAGAGTTCCATGGAATTGTCAGAGTCTTGCTTGACTTTGTGCTTACCCTGAACTTCTGCTACGTCCTTCCTTGAAATGCTCCTTGAATTAGGGCGAGTTTTCCTTTCTGCTTTCAGGCTGGAATTATGAAGGTACAAGTTATTTTGTTTTAAACTAACGAGATAGATAAGAAAGTTATGGTGACTGAAAGTTAAGAAAGTCTGATAGACATATATCACAGTGCTTAGATGTGAGTCCCTATATGTGACTCCTCCTTTGTTTCTAGCCTTCTTTGGCAGCTAATTTGACGACCTTAAATTGTCTTTCTTTTCCCCAAATGAAGTTAATAATAGTACCATAAAATAGTAACTGTGAAATACTTAATAGTGTGTAATTATTAAACACACAAAAATTGAAAAATGTTTCAGAAGTAAAAGTTCTATATGTGTGCTAAGATGCTAAGTAATATTTTTATATATGCATATGTATATATATATGGACAGAAGTATACACATAAATATACATATAGTTATGTATGTGCATACATATATGTGTGTGTATCTTTACCTATACAAGCACATGCCCTTATATTAGGTTTTATGACAATATTTTCCTGGAAATAGTGTTCCAAGTCATATCTAAAGGGGGATAAGTAAAGCAAAAATATGACAAACATCCACCTAAAAAGTGCTGTTAAAACTTGATCTTTTTTTACCCTTTTATAAACAGGAGGAAAAACTCAATTATGTAATGCAATTAGTAGCAATACACTGTGATGTTATGCTAATCTGCAGATAGAGATCAATGTTAGTTTTCAAGAGGGAGTAATTATTATGCAGGTGGACTTTTTTTTTTTTTTTTTTTTTGGCCCTTCCCTGAATGATGCTATATTTTCCTTAAAGAAGCTGAATGCTTATGAGCATCTATCAAGTATCAGACTGAAGGAGGAGGTGGGAGCAAACTCGATGTAATCTCTCCAGTTTTCATCTTTCCTTTTCTGAAAATTACCTAACCAACCTAAGCTACTGTGTTAGCCTGAGTGTAATATACGCATCTCTTTTCAAGGATGGGAGGAAAAAAAATCAAGAAAACCACCCAAGTTCACAGCCAACTGTCACCCCTGATAAAGAGAGAGTCCTTTAAGCAGCCTAGCAGCAGATGCCCCCTTTGAGAGCCGTGGGGTATGAGCTGGGTACCAGTGATAGCCGGGGGAGCAGCAGACCCGCAGTGCTGTGTGCTGTGCTGTGCATTCCCTCCAGCTGGGAGCCACATCCTAGTGCTCTCGGATCTGCTTGGTATCGTGTATGGGTCCACCTGGGGTCCATTTAAGCTCCATTATCTGTTAGGTCACCAAAGTGCTGCTAGAGCTTTTAAAGGGCTTGCATCACTCATGACGTTAGGCCTCTGTTTCCTTTTAATGTCATCTTTCACAGTGTTGTTAAGCTAATATATATCACTCATTTTTCATGTACTCGTGCATACGTATGTTCATTTATCCGATGTTTCTCAGGAGAGTAAAAGATAGAGCCACAATGTAACGCAGATCTCAACACTAGGTTAAGAATACCCTAGGTGGAACACGTTATTTGCCAGTGGCGTCAACATTATATGTTGATGTTACTGCTCTGTGTGTGTGTTCTTGAGCTGTTCCAGGGGCTGCAGGAGTCTGTGACATATGAGAGTACTTAATGTAGTTCAAACAATTTCTGTTAGTTTTTTTTTGTTGTTTCTTTGTTTTCATTAACAATAAGCTAAGTCTTGAACAAATGCAGAGTGGATGAAGTCCAAGAAAAGCCTTGGTTAAGAAATGTGGATATTAGCAAAGATGATGTGGGTCTTAAGAACCTGGCTGTTTTTGAATGTGAATCAGTAACATGCAGAAACACAGCAGTAGATCTGAGGGTTAAATCCCAAGGTACTTCCAGAATTACTATATTCTTGTTTTTATAAACCTAACAGTTTTATTTTAAATGGAAGAGAAATACGGGAGTAGGGCATGGAAGTTCTTTTTATGTGTGTTATAACTTTTAATGGTATCATATATTGCTAACCTAAGTCAGAATGAGATCTCCTGTGTACATTGAGTAGTGCTTTATTCCTATCCCTTTACATTCCTGTGACTTTCCTATATGATGTAGAGCAAAATTCTTAGGGATAAATAAGTCCTAAGTGTTATATAAGTAAGTAAGTGTTCCTTATATATTATTAAGCTAACATGAACAACAGACCAGAACTTTCTAGATTGCCTGTTAAGGAAATTTGAGACTCATTTTGTTGCATGTGTGCAAGTAACTAAACTGGCATTACCAGGTACCGAATACCAATAAAATTATTGTCTCTGTGTATGTGTAAAATTGCTATGATTACTTTCAAATGGACTCTTTTAGAGCTCTAGTATGACTCAGGATGACTGAGCATTCCTTAGCAATTCCTGTAAAAGTTTATTGTGTTTGTATACTCAACAAGTCAGCCCTAAATTACATAGAAATAATTAAGGAATAATATATAGACCTTAGAGTAATCAGAAATCTCAGAAAGAAGGAGAGGAGCTGAATCCCTGGAGTCTTCAGTTTCTGATGCATTTTGTTAACACTTTAGCAGGGAGGTTGCTAATAAAACATATGGTAAAAGAATTGAATTTGTCTTTATAATTACTTGTTTGTTTGATTCTTTTCCAGTTAGTCCCAATCAGAATGCCAGACCCTGCAAAAAGCCATGCTCCCTGCGAACTACGTGTTCCAACTGCACCAGTAATGGTATGGAGTGCATGTGGTGCAGCAGTACAAAACGATGTGTTGACTCAAATGCCTATATAATCTCCTTCCCATATGGACAGTGTCTGGAATGGCAAACAGCCACATGTTCCCGTGAGTATCTTAATGAATGTTTATTTTATTAAATATCACATATATTTTTTTCCACTCAGAACATTTATATGAATTGGATTCAGCACATTCACTAAGGATAAAAAATGAATGACTTTGAATGGCTACTAATGTCAGCAGTCAATACTGTGTATGTATCATGTAGGTGCAGGTAAAGCAGTGGCAATTATTTTATGCTAAAACATATTCAGTGTTTTAAAGCAGCAGGTAAAAAGTGGTTATTGTTATCAAATATGGAAAAATGTTGTGATTCTTTGCATGACCAGTATTAACATGTCGGCTGTTGTCTGTGAATTGAAACAAATTACTGATAAAATTAGAGTAATAATATATAGACCTTAGAGTAATCAGAAATCTAGTTATTAAAGAAAAGAAGCTGATTTCCTAGAATCTTAAGTTGCTGTTGCATTTCATCAAAAGATTCAAAGTCTGACTTTCTAGATTTCAAAGATAAGTGTTATACTAGTAATAGCAATATTCTTGAAAAAGCAATTATAGAAGAAATGATCTAATTGGTTATTTGCAAATGCCAGTTATCGATGCTTTGAGATTGTTTGCTGTCTGCACAGGGATAACAGGAATTCTGTTAGACTGTCAGACAGATAAAAAGGGATGGAAAAAAAACTTTTGTCTTATATGGCACAGGTGGTATTAATTTACCAGATTGCTTATTTCTTGCTTTTGAAATAAAAGACAGATGATTTCTTATTTTGTCAAGCAGCGAAGATGCTTCGCAGATGTCTCTTTTGGATGCATGTTTTATCAGAAATCAGGCCAATGACCCTCTAGGAGAAGAATGCTTAATGTGTTTCACATTGTGCTGTTCACAAATGGTGCTTTTCCTCAAGTCTATGGCAGCTAGACCTTGTTAAATTTGGTGTCATGCAGTTCCCGTGTGTATCAGTGTCCTGGTCTATGTAGATGCTGAAGCAAGCTGCCTCATGCCTTATATTCTTGTCTCAATTACAGTTTATTTGGAAAAGAAGTATGATGCCATTCTACATGAGACTCTTTCTTAGTATTTTCATAAATGACTGCCCTTAAAGACTTGATGACAATGTTTCCCATCTAAAAATGACTCCAATCAGTGGAAATGGTATTTGATATTGATAGTGAATTGTGGCATAAGATAGTAAGATTTAAAAATTAGAGATAATATTGCCAGATCACCACATGGATGATGTTGCTTTTGTTGCTTTTCCTCTAAAAAGCATGTTATGCAAGATCATCTGTAAATAACTAGTCAAGTATTTGCAATAAGTGTCATTGATTTTTAATATGGCATCTATGTGTGTGTATGCAGCCATAACTCACAAGACAGTAAAGGCTTCCTTTTCATGAGAAGTGTTAATGAATGAACACAGACTAAAATGAGCTTCATGTTTAATTTAATCTTTTTCCAAGTATTTGCCTGAAAATTGTGTTTTTAATGGGAAAAAGGGAATATAAAAGAATCATCATGCTATTCCAGCTCTACCTGCAGAGCTCTACACCATAGTTTTAAGGTTTTAATTATCACAGTGTAGTGTTCATCTGAGTGCCTTCCACCAGAAAATTTTAATACACTTTCTAAAGAAATGTGTTCAACTAGTTCTGACTTCCTGGTAGGATCTTCCAAAAGTTCATGTATACATTTAAAATATATATATTTTTATCTCTGTGAAGTTAATGTAAGAAAAAAAACAATGGGGTGTTGTCATCAATGTTCAGATGATTCTGAAGGTCATTCTGCTGTGCTATAACATTTAATTTTTTTAATGATGGAAGATATGGCAGAAAAAGCTGAGATAAAGCTGTGAAATCTTAATGGTATTCCTAAATATAGAAAATCAGTCCTTCATTACTGTTAATTGGGTGGTCACAGTCTTAACTGGTTGTGAACAGATTTGTTTGAATGTGAGCTGGACTATTTCTGTGAGAAAATAATAGAATAGAAAATAATTAGATATTTGATTTTAACATGAAAGTAAATAAAAGCTGGCCTACTGCAACGGATGAGGGACTTGTATTAAAATGGGATTGAATTATGTTTTGAAGTTTAGCTGTACCTTTTTTTGTGAAGTTATATATTATGCTGGCTTGATTCCAAAGTTGTATTTCACAGAAATGAAGTTGTGCAGATGAATATTCAAAATATTAGGCTCATCATAAAATAGCTCATGCCAAACACATGAATTTGGACTGTCATGATTTTTTCTCCCTTCTTCGAGTTATTGACCTAATCTTGAATTCTAGAGTATTCTTGTTGGAAAGTCTGTTTACATGCATAAAACTATATGTAAAATGGATGCATCACATAAGATATAAATATGTAAACATGAAATATACATGGCATCATGGAATTATGACAATGTGTAATTGTGCTTTTCTGCTTCATTATCTCATTATCTTTATAGCATAACCTGCTCATATTTTGCTATTTAAAAAAAACCAAAACTTTTAAAAATAAATGTAGAGATATTCTGACTAAAATATTATTGAAATTTTTGGAATCGTACCAGAAAATAACTAAAGTAACTTTGTGTATATAACTTCTTCCTCAATTATTGTAAAAAATCTTTGAATCTTATTTAAAAAAAAAACCAACAACCTTGCATTAATATTGCATTTTATGTTATAAAGCTCAAAACTGCTCTGGACTGAGGACCTGTGGACAGTGTTTGGAACAGCCTGGATGTGGATGGTGTAATGATCCCAGTAATACCGGGAAAGGGCAGTGTTTGGAAGGCTCCTCAAGAGGACCAATGAAGCCTGTTGCCTTTCACTCCAGTGAAATGGTGCTTGATGCTACTCTTTGTCCAAAAGAGAAAAATTACGAGTGGTCTTTTATCCAGTGTCCAGGTAAGATGCACTGATTTTTTTTTTTATCTTTATTTGAATAGCATGTCTAAACTTATAATATGAAATACGAGTTACAGAATATAGGATTAAAGTGTGGTTAGGCACTAAAATGTAACATAACTTGAGTAATACATAGATATGTTGCCAAATTATTTTGTAAATAAATAGTTGATTTTTTTTTCAGTATACAGTATTTATTTTTGGGGCAGATTCATTTGTGAAATTAATGCAAATAGTTTAATAAAAATCTGCTGCTTATTTGTAGATAAGGTCTCATCTATTACATTTTTCTACTTTTTCCAAGTACTTTTTCCAAGTCCAAACGTGTGTTAGTTTCAACTTTAAATTACTTCCACCATTAAATTTCTTCCTGCATCTGGATCCATCAAAGGAAAGTGCAGGTAGAGAGAGATGTCTGTAGGTAACAGGAACAGGGACTCCCCGCATCCTAGCTGGTGATGAAAGGGCTGCCAAATGTGTCAGCTATGCCACCAGCATAGCTTTCACCAGCATGGTTGGTGAAAGGTTGTGCTTTTGTAACCTTCAAAAGAATCTCTGAAGACTAAATTTTAGCCATATTGATCTGTTGATAGAATTTTAATTTTTTGATTCACTAGATAAGTAAGCAAGGCATCAGGTGCTCTAATTTAGTGCAAAATGAACTGGTATAGCCCCTAGGATTGTGCTGCATGAAAACATTCCTGGAGGCAGTTTACTTGCAACAGGGTGGAAGTGCAGCTAAGTGAAAAACATGCTGGTGAGGTTAAAAGGCCTCCATATGTAATAAATGATACAACTTTAAAGGCCACTGGAAAACAGAAATAGGTTTTTTTTTTTTTTTTTTTCCTTCTTTTGGAATAAACAGTGTAGTTGAGATAGTCCCAAGTGATGCTACATTATGGTACAAGATTTGTAAACTTCTAAGCTTAATTTAAATGTTATCAGTGATAAGAACATTGTTAGGCTTTTAGAAAATGTATGTATAATCTGTCCCTTGTGAAGGTGTAATGGATATAGATTCTGATTTCCTTATTTATTTATTTTTGAGTTGGAAGATTTCATAACCTTATTTGTTTATATCTTCATGGGTAAAATCCTGTATTCATTATATGTTCTGACCAAGATTGCAGCGAGATTCCATTCCACTTTAGTTTTGAAGGTTATTCTGTGAATTTATTAAGAGGCAAATTGTTCTTAAGTCACAAAAGTTAAAATTTCTGTTGGCATTAAATTTCATTTTGATTCATATAGGCTGTAGGTTTTGATCCTAAGGTTTTGTTTTCATTTTATTGACCAAATACCATATTTAAGGGATTATAGTAACACAGTTTATTAATCTTAACACAGCAATCTGAAAACCTTTGTTTGATGTACTTGAAATATAATGGAGTTGATCATAAATCTATATTAACTTACTGAACAGTTTGTAATTGGATAAAAGTAAGAAAAAATAGGTTATGACATATACTTCAAAGATTATTCTGCCACATTGATTAATAATTGGATAAACCATTCATGTTTGTGTAGATGCAGGTTTTCCCTGTAGTTCATATCTATGCTCTTTGTGGTTTTACAGTACCTCTGGGCAATTGGCTTGATAAATACTGTTTTAAATTCACTCTCATTTTCTGTCTGTTTTAATTTTAAAAACTATTATTAAACAGATAGCATAAAGTGAGAAGGTCTGACAGGTTTTGAATGAAACATTTTTTTTTTCAGCTACAGCTGGGGAAAAACAAGAGCTTGTTTGCATGATATGAGCTGGGTATTCTGTCTTGAACATGTAATATATTATTTACAAATCTGAAAAGGAAGCAGTTGCCTGCTGAGGAAGTTCCTACACATGTTTGATTACAAGACTTTATAGGCATAGCTATAGCAGCAAGAGGAAAATGTAAGCTTGTGAGGTTTAATGGTTTTGGAAGATGGTTTCAGTATTAAGGTACTAAAACTCTTAAGTTACTGAAAACTTCTAAATTGTGCTGTGAGAGCTACTTTTTTTTTTTTTTTCTAGGCAAGGCAACAGTCAGTGACATTTATATTAAAAATCCAAATTCGAAAAAAAAAATAAAAATATATTCTGAAATAACTGTCATCTGCTGAATCTTAGACACACTTTACTAGTCAGGTATTGACAGTTTTGACATAATCTGACATTTGACAAGCTGTTCCTACTGACGTGTTGCTAATCTGTTGAGCCCTGAGTTTTAAGGCCCCACTCTCTATAGAGCTAAGAACTACTTTCAAAACACTATCTTTGGCTATTTCAACCCAATCCTGGTAGAGAGATCAAGTATTTTCGCAGAGTTCATATGATTTTGCTGCAACGGTAACCAGTAACTTTCTGTGAGTTTGCTGAAAATACAGAGCGTGGGGGAGTAGATGTGGTTTAAAAGATCAGGAAGTTCTACTATTGTTTCATTTGACAAATAAAATTTATTTGAATTTCATTGGCCCTTGTGAGTAGGGACATGAGGCATTTGAAGTGCTTTGACTATCTTTTAAATCCCTCTGCTCTCGGTTATTTTTCTTGTTTTTGTATGTCCTCTCTCCCCAGCAAATGCATCCTTGTGTTTAGGCTGTTCGTTTTTAGTGTTGTGGTAGTTGTGCCGGATCTCACAGCAGACTGCACGTGGGCTTGGGGATTTTCAATTGGTCTTGGTGATTTACTGTCTGTTAACAGTTTTCTTTAATGACTAGGCAGCTTTTTATGCCTACAGTCACTGGATTTTATGTCTACAAGGGCTCTCTTCTCAAGAGCCTTAAGCTACCAAGTCACTAGTCACTGCATACTCAACTTTTGTGATCTTCTGTGAGTTCGTGTTTTGTCACAATGCTGTTTTAATTCCATTCTGTCTCAAGTTATAACTATATATGCTGGTCATCTGTCAGGAGTAAGCTCTTCAAAATTGCATTCTACTGCAACTTGGCAATCCCATGATTTTATTTGCAAAAGCAGGTTAGTAATGACCTTTTAAATGTTTCATTCCAGCTTGCCAGTGTAATGGCCACAGCACCTGCGTCCACAGTAACGTTTGTGATCAGTGTAAAAACCTGACGACAGGAAAGCAATGTGAAACGTGCATGCCCGGCTACTACGGGGACCCCACGAACGGGGGGCAGTGCACAGGTAGGTCGTACGTGTCAGAAGAGAATGTGCAATGGCACTTTCTGTGGTGTGAATGTGTAACGTGACACAGCGGTTAAATGTTCAGTGGTTAAATGTTCATTAGCTGCTAAGGGTGCTCAGCTGAACTACCGACTGCAAATCCAGATTGATTTTTTTTTTTTTTTCTTTTAGAGAACCTTTGCGTTAATAATTATGATTTGCCATTTGTCATTTGATCTATATGCACTAAAGCCATGAATCTGATTTAAATCAAATGTGCGGTCCCAGCCTGGCAAAAGAGGCATTATGGGAGCAACCAACAATCAATCATGATACTTGAGAGCTATTATTTCACTCCATACTCTTACTGCTTGCATAAGCAGTGAGAATGTCACTGTATTTATAAATGAAACTAGTAACTAGAATAATGCCTGTTACCTGCAGTGAGGCCCATTTAAAAGCTAAATGATAGTTTTCTTCCTGTTTCTTTGCTTTTCTTTGCTAAGAATGCAAACCCTAACAATACTCTTCTCCCTCAGAAAAGTTTTATTCCTGTGCAAAATATTTTGTACATACGATATTGATGAATGAAACAGTTTTTACTTGTAAAATATAAATTCTGCTAACCTGTTTGCAGTTGTGTTGGCAATCTGCTGCCTCAAAACTGTTTCCTGATGTTGTTATTCAGAAAAGACCTTGAAAGAGCTTTGAGAGAGATTTTCTCGAGAGCCTTTTTTCTTTTTCTTTTTTATCTTCTGAGTGTTTACTTAAACACCATTAGTTTCTTCATTCTATATACTAAATGCATGTATACTTCTTACTATATGCACTTAGTACGTATACTATTTGTCACTGTATATTTCTCTGAAGATTTACATAAACAGGAGAAAAAATGAGGCAGGCTGTGACTCACCTAGAACCTGTTGTAAAACCTAATGGTGGTAGAATTAATATTATACTTTCAAGTAGTGAAAAACTATCTGTCATTAGAACTGCTACTTGCAATTTTGAGAGGCTGAATATTCTTCTCTTTTATAAGGTATCAGAATGATTTTTGGCATGCTGTCATATACCTGATGTCATCAATGAAAGCAGCAGAAGTAGTAGCTTTTATTTGGTATCTTGGAGCTGGATGATTTCATCATAATGAATTTATGCACTATGATGCAGTATAAAGTAGTGTAACTTATTCTGATATATAGCTGTCATTCCTAATGGTTTCCCTATATGCTCATCTATTTGCTGAGCTTTCATCTAAATTTTTGTGTGTGATATGCCAATTGCTGTTTTGAAAGAAGTGATTTTGTGTGAATATATGATCAATAAGTCTTATTTATGCATAGCTTGAGCAGAAAAGCTCTGTACACTGAGGAGTGCAAATGACTGTGTTCTGCCTGTGTAGTTTTGTAATTGCTGCATTCATGGATTCCCCTTGATGAGAAAGTGAGAATGGAATCTAAAGCTCCACAGGGTATTTGTATAGTGCCGTAGGGCTGCTTCCTTGCTTGCAGGCATGTTAAAAGTCAATGGTAGCTTCTCCCATGTGTCTATAATAGGGAGGTATTTTCAATATGAAAACCCATCAAGATAGTAGAGATTGAATTTAGCAGATAGTGAGCAAAGTTTCTACTGTGAATATTTCTATTCTTATATTGATGTTTCTTTAAGTGGACCTTTGGTTCTTAGTGAATATTTGTTCATTTAAAGGGCTTACCTCTTTCTCAGCAGTTGAATGTGCAGTAGTCATTATATGAAGCTGTGTGTCTGGTAAACTCAAGCACAGTGTGTTGGAAGTGTGTTCAAGGGGATGAAAAGATTAATGTCTACTGCTATTGACAGCTGCACATTTTCCTGGTGCTTTATGAAGCTTTAAATATTTCTTAATAGATCTCTTATTTCCTCAAGTTGACAAAGTGTTCCTTTACTGTCTACAGCACCTTTGCGGCAAAGTGATGTATTAATATAGTTTTGTTCTTTAGGGATACACCAGCTATCTAACCAAATAAGCATTCCATCACCTATAGTGAATTATGTGTAATGCAATAATGACTAAAATCAATTTATATAACCAGTAAAATTACACATTTTATGACCTGTTTTTTCAACCCTAGTTACATATTACTTTAAGGGTTCATATTTTTCTGGCAGACATGTTTTTAACAGCAGTTAGACTAAAGAATGCTTTAAAAATTTAAGATGATGCTAATAACTGTGAGGCTTTATCTGCATTCATGTATTATATTACATTATATTATGCCCATAAAAAAGTTTAAGCTGTTAAGCTATTTTGATGAATCTAGCCTCTTCTAGACACTGTTAGATCTTCAGTATCGTGTATTTTTTTTTATCATCTGGTATTGGTGTCCAAATTGTGGTCCAGGGATTTCAGTGATCAATAGAGAATGGGCAGATGACTTTTGATTTAAGAGAAATTTGGCAGCACAGTTGAAATCAGAACTCCTGTTTGTCTAAATGGCATCTCAATCTGAAGAAAAAGTCTTTGTCCAGAAGTGATTGCCAACTGATAAAGGAAGATGAGCTCAGAAATGGATAGTGTAAGTGGTTACATATGTGGGGTTTTTTCTAGACATGACAATTTCTTGTAAATATGGTTTTCCATTTTCCTTTTTTCTTTTTTTTTCTGTTAATGTTTTTGGTAAGTAAAAAAATAACTACAAGTTAAAACAAAAATTAAAGTTACAAGATAATGAAAAAGATAATATTGCAGGAAAGGTTAGTCCAGTCAGAAGCTGATTTTAAGTGTAGCTGAAATAGCTGGAAGTTAAAAAAAGGAAACGGTATGGAACAGCCAGTCAAAATGGGGGAAAAAAAACACCATGAAGAACTGAACAAAGTCATCTTTGTAGTCCTTGCTTCTGCCTCTTTGCTGCTGTCAGCTGAGTTTCTGGCTGGATCGTTTAATTTCTTTCTTTAAGACTCATCCTTCTGTAGGAGGATGGAGGCTGCCTAAGCATCTTGTAAAGTTTTCTTCAGAAATGAATTCAGAACTTGAAGGAGTTTAGCTCTTTAATAGGCAATAAATTGTGAGTTAGAGTCCAAGCTCTAGTTCTGTTTATCCCTTTTACCTGATTATTAAGTATTCTTCAGTAAAGAATGTATACGTAGGCCTTGATCAGCCCTTGGGGTGCCAACTGCAATGTTTTGTTAGATATAATTAAGGAATCCAAAGCCCTAGTGACTGAAGCCGGGCTCGGGAGACCGAGCTCGGCATCGCAGGCTTCCAGACTCAGAACCTGAGGAAGCTTTGTAGTCCAAAGTGTTACGAGGTGGAAAACTGGTGTTCAGAGCCACTTTGATTTGTTTCCTAAAACCTGCTCAAGTCCCACGAGACACAATGTAGAAGACATGAACATCAAAATTCCGTAGTAGGAAATTTATTTTTTAATATTGATGGATTCTGGAAATGCAAGAGCTTTAGCTGAAGATGGGAACGGATACTGGCTTGGTTACTGTTTTCTCTTAGTGCTATATTTTCTTCAAGGTCATCTTCTCTCATGTACTGCATATCTGGGCAATGTGCAACATTATGTAAATTCTAGAACAAATAGAATGAGACATGTACTACAGGCTGGAGGATAAAATAACAGGAGAAAACAGTAGGAAGGATTGCTTGGAACATTTTTATGCTGTCCTAGCAAAATTTGTTAGCGTAATTTTCAAACTCCTTAATCATCTACTTAGTTGTCAGTGTTTAAAAAAATTACTCTAGCTGCTTATCATCTTGTCATATTCTTTAAGTGAGATATTTCTAAAACTATTCTTAAAATGTATGAGATGGTAGGAGAGAATTCTTTACAGTAACATATGACACATGCTGTGAATGCATAATACATTTAATAATAAGATAACGTAAGCTCTTTTCTGCATTGCCTTTTTTTTTTTTTTTCCCTAAAACGGTAACATCCTAAACAATGTTCAGTTTTCACATAATTGTGCTACCAACGCTCTTGCTTTTACAGTATGAGTAAGACTGAGTATCAGCACAGCAGGAACATTGTTTTAACACCCATTGCTCTCTGAGCAGTCTAAAAAGGCACAATGCTTAAAAACCAATGATCACTTTCAAAAGCCCTCCTACCTGGGAAGCAATGCAGCTAAGATTTTTGAGCAAGTCTCTATCATAATTATTGCCATTATAAATCTGTCTCTGCTATCGTACAGTTGGATATTTCCAACATCAAAGGCAACAGCTTTTCCCACATATACCAGAGTCTATAATCATTCTGTTTAAAAATGTTAATTGCTCATGGGAAACATTTTTAAAAAAAACATTTACCAGATAATCTAATCTCAATATTATATGTTTTGACTGGATATAAATAAATCTTCAAACTACTAACCAAAAAAAGATGCTTCTGGTAATATGCACAGTGTGTGTGTCGGGTCAGTCAGCAGCATCTGCTGGAGCTGGGTGAGAGGGTTTTCGTGTTCCTACAGGACTGATGAGTGTGAGGGAAATAAATCTGAGTTTTTCAAGTTCTTCTGAAACATCTGACTCTGGAGAAGCACCCTGCTCAGTGTTCATTTCAAGTACGTGTTTTGTAATTAAAATACTTTTAGATGTGTTTATATGTGTGCATATAGTCCCACGATCACTTCAAAATAATTCACAGCCTGATTTATTAGAACACAGGCAGAATACACGTAAAGAAGGTTACGTGTAGCAAGCCAGGAGATGCAGACTAAGGAAAACCAGTTGGAAACGGATACCTATCGCTACTGAATCATTTGACTGTGGTTGTCCTTTCTCATTTCCAATCCATCAACTTCTTGCAGTCTCCAAATCTGTAAAACAGGCTATATAATTCATGCTAGACCTTAGGAAAGTCCCATTTTGTGTCTCACTAGTTTGTTTCGTTTCTGCTCCTTGTTATAGACAGATCTCTTGGCTCTTCTCTGGGGAGCTTCTTCATTTCTGCTCTTGCTTCAGGTTTTCTGCTTCCTGTCATCTTTTCTTGTAGTCCTGACTGCTGCTCCCCAAAGATTTTGCAAAACTATTC